AAATCCTCTCTGCCCATCCCTGACCAAGTGAACGAAGGGAAAATCCTCTCTGCCCATCCCTGGGCAAGGGAGCAAAGGGAAAATCCTCTGTGCCCATCCCTGACCAGGTGAATGAAGGGAAAATCCTCTCTGCCCATCCCTGGGCAAGTGGACAAAGGGAAAATCCTCTCTGCTCATCCCTGCCGTGGCTCTGGCATCCCCTGGGCAGGAATCGAGAGGCACTGGCAGTGTCCCCAGCCCTGGCTCTGCCCAGATGTGCAGAACAGCTGGAATAAAGGCCAGGTGTGCGATTTCTGCTTCTGAACAGAGATCACCTGCAGCCCTTGCTCCATCTGTGCTCAGACAGGAGGAGCCAAGCTCTGGGTGACATCTGTGCCAATGGTCTGTGCCAATGGTCTGCCTGGTGATCATGACTGCTGACCATCACTGCTGATCCCACTGCTGACCATCACTGCTGATCCCACTGCTGACCATCACTGCTGATCCCATTGCTGATCCCACTGCTGACTATCACTGTTGACTATCACTGCTGATCATCACTGCTGATCCCACACTGCTGATCCCACTGCTGATCCCATTGCTGACCATCTCTGATGACCATCCCTGCTGATCATCACTGCTGATCCCACTGCTGACCATCACTGCTGATCCCACTGATGATCCCACTGCTGACCCCACTGACGATCCCACTGCTGACCATCCCTGCTGAACCCACACTGCTGATCATCCCTGCTGACCATCCCTGCTGATCATCACTGCTGACCATCCCTGCTGAACCCACACTACTGACCATCCCTGCTGACCTTCCCTGATGATCCCACTGCTGACCCCACTGCTGATCCCACTGCTGACCCCACTGCTGATCCCACTGCTGACCATCACTGCTGACCCCACTGCTGACCATCACTGCTGACCCCACTGCTGACCATCCCTGCTGACCCTCCACCCCAGCAGTTAAATTCCATGTGACATTAACCGGGAGAGCCCTGCTTTCCTTCCCTCTGCTGAAGCCAAGGCTGGTTCCTGCTGCTCTGCAGGAGCACTGGTCAGGCTGCCTGACCTGCTCCTCGATGGCAGAGTGGTCCCACCTCAGTCCTGCTTTAAAATTTTGGAACCATTTTGGCTGGAAAAGCCCTCTAAGCCCACAGAGTCTGAGCCTTCCCCCAGCACTGCCAAGGCCACCGCTGCCCTGTGTCCCCAAGTGCCACATCCACATGGATTTTAAACCCTCCAGGGATAGGGACTCCACCTCTCTCATGCTCCAGAGTCTTTACCAGCTGCCTCTCCATTTACTAACCCAGGACACTTCCAAACCCCGCTAAAATCCGCCACCAGAACCCACAAACTTCCAGGACACCTCTGTAACCTGCACCAGCAACAGGAAAATGATTCAACCCCCGCTAAAATCCGCTCCCAGAACCCACAACTTCCAGGAGACCTTTGTAACCTGCACCAGCAATGGGAAAATTATTCAAACCCTGCTAAAATCCGCTCCCAGAACCCATAAACTTCCAGGAGACCTTTGTAACCTGTGCCAGCAATGGGAAAATTATTCAAAATCTGCTAAAATCCGCTCCCAGAACCCATAAACTTCCAGGAGACCTTTGTAACCTGTGCCAGCAATGGGAAAATGATTTTAACACAGAGTTTGATCAGCTGGATGGGATTTCAGGGCTGTCAGTCAGAGAGAGGAGGCCCTGGAGATCCTTCCCAGCCCGTTTGTAATCCATCCATCCATCCATCCATCCATCCATCCATCCATGTGTCCATTTATCCATAAAATCACATCCCCAAGCTGCTGAGCCTGCACTCTCCACACATTTCCAGCACAAACAAGAAGGACAGGGATGTGCAAAGAATAAATGATTCGGCTCCATCTTGTGCTCCTGCTTCTGGCACGCCGAGCAGCRTTCCAGCTTGTCAGGATAAAGCCCAGACAGCTGCAATATCTGTGCAAAACTGGGACAATTCTGATTAAAAACCCATTTCCCTCCACGCTTCTCTGAATGTTTACCCCGCTCCCAACAACTGTCCTGAAAGGGAAAYGAGGAGAGAGAGAGGATTTGCCACAATCTGTGTCCAGCTCAGAAATCCCAGCTCCCCGAGCGACAATTGATTGTGCCTCAGCASAGATTATTTTAAACGATCATCTGGGAGAACCTCGGGGAGGAAAGGGAAAATGGGGGCAGTTCTGGAGAGGCTTTTGTGCAGGATTTGGGTCTGAGGGGAGCTCGCTGAAATAGCAGAGATGGCCTGGGGCTTGGCAATCACCTACTGAGGCATGAACACTGCTGCTTTCAGGACAATGGCAGCTTCCCTGGGTGGGAAGAGCACAAAATATCCCAAATATTTAATATCCAGAATGGTATAAGAGAATTCAGGAGCTGGCTGATGGGTGTAAAGTAATTTAGATGGGATAATGGGGAGGAATTGCTGGCTGTGAGGGTGGG